TAATTGAATGCCTATTCATCATCAGAAACTGAGCTGGACTTGGGGATACAAAGACAAATGACATTTCTTTTCTCTCCAAATGTTTATATTCTAAAATGTGAGATGAACACACAAATGAATGAATACAAAAATAATGTTATTTCACCCTGGTCAAAATCCAAATAAAGATAGTTTGGGCACAGAGAATGGAATGGCAGTTGTACCTAGGTAGAGGATGAGGGAGAGGTGATAATTGAGTCATAAAATGGTAGAAATTCCAGGGTGATAAAGGGTGTGGAAAGGTGCTCACTCTGGGCAAGAGAACTGCAGGAACAAAATTATGAGGTATGAATTCACAGCCAAGGAGCAGCAAGTACTTTAATATTATAGGGACGTGAGGCATGTACAAGTTATAGAAGCCAAAGGCTAGGTTAGAAAGAATAAATTAAAAGCAGTAAAGATCTAGATTTGCATTGTTTGAGTTTACGCACATCTTGGCACTGGGAAGTCACTGAGCATTTTAAGATGAGAGAGATTGGATTCAATTTATGAAGCTAGAAATCATGAGACGAGCCCATTAAAGGGTTCAGAGTTGATTAGTAGTTGAAACTAATTTTTATTGACTGCCTGCTATTTACCAGGCTCCATGCTAAGTTGTTCATTTTTATGTTATTAATTCTCAGATCAACCTATGCAATCAGTACAGTTAACTTCCCTCTGCATAGAAGAAAATGCTAAGGCAGAAATATGTTAAGCCTAAGGTCAGACTGCAGTAGTAGGTTACAGGACCAAAACAGAAACCCAAAGAATCAGACTTTAGAAAGAGAAAGGAAAACATATTAAAACTATGAAAGTTTCAGGATGTAATCTTTTATCAAATGTGATCGGTAAGGGAGGGATAAGAACCTAGGATACCCCCTAGGCTTGTAGCTTACATGACTAAATGAATGGTGAGGTGGATTATCAGTATAATAGATGGGACAAATTTAGAAAGACAGTAATAATGTTTTCTGAATATGTTTGTTTTCATATACCTGTGGGAAATCTGGAAAGCATGAGGATATATGGGTAAGCAGATGGACGTACAAGTTTGGATTTCAGGTGAGGGTTGTGCTGCCAGTGGAAATCTTGTTCTTTCAGGGAGTCCAAAGGAAAGAATTCCAAGAGACCTACACATACATGGGGGTTAAAGGAAGAGTATTATAAGTTAAAATGTGTCCCCCTGAAAATGTTGAAGTCTTAATGCTCTGTACCTGTGCCTGTGACCTTACTTGGAAACAGAATAGGGTCTTTGCAGATCATTAAGTTAAGATGAGATCCTAGGGTGGGGGATTTTAATCCATTTTGACTCTGGGTTTATAGAAAGGAGAAAGTTGGACACAGAATGACACAGAGAAAGAGGGAGAAAAGACCATATGAAGATCAAAACTGAGATTAAGGTGATGCATCCACAATCCAAGTAATACCAAATATTGCCAGCAAACCACCAGAAGCTAAGAGAGAGGCATGTAACAGAGTCCCCTTCACAGCCTCAGAAGAAAGCCACCCTGCCAACACCTTTTCAGACATCTAGCCTTCAGAACTGGGGGACAATAAATTTCTCTTATTAAAGCTACCAACATGTGGCACTTTGTGAAAGCAGTCCTAGGAAACTAATACAAACAGATAGAGAGGTATCTGCTTGGAAGAGTGAATGATTATTGGTGATGACTGAACAAAAACTCTCAGTTCAAAAACAAGTTTGCCAGTCAGAGAAGCAGGAAAGGCTCTTCTGAGGCTATTCCAAGAAAAGAATGAGCTTGTGAAAAGGCACAGAAGTATAAGAAAGGAAACACCAGCAGTGTGCTCTGGGCAGAACAAGCTGCAGCCCTGGACACAAGAACACAGGAATTTGTTCATGAAAGTCCCTGTAAACTGCACTGTAGCACACTTTGTCTTTTAAGTGACAGACAGCAATCAAAGACCCAAAGGAATGAGTAAATCTGTTTTGTGTTTTAAAGTGCTACTGTTTTGTAAATATAGTGGCAGTGGCAGCATAATTTTTTAATCTACCAAAATTATCCCATTAAAATAAACAGGGCAAAACTGAAGAATCATGGACAATATCTACAACAAACACAGTGCTGAAATACCCCCATAATTATGTAGGAACAAATGAGTGACAGCTTATAAGAGTCCTGTGATATCAACAATTATGCAGGAAGAAGCAGAGGGAAGGCCTTGAAACTAGGACAGCCTCCAAATCCCCAACAGGCACTCTCTGGAAAGTTCAATGGGCCAAATTAGAGGAATAAGGGAGGCTGGAAGGGTGTTCTCAATGATCCCAAGCAAGAGTGAGCCCAAGGGGACTGTAACACAATAAACATTAATGCTACTGCAGCAGAGTCATTCCTTACCAACCGAAGAGTCTTCCATCCATCCAAAGAGCCTTCCATGACAAACCTCCACATTAAGAAGAATCTGCAAGGATAGAGTCCAAATTGATCAGGATAGGGACAACAACAATCACTGAAAGAGAAGGAACAGAGGAAAGAGAAAGGCAAATAGAGACCCCTAATCTCAAAAAGTTAACAAGTGTTGTTTTCATCACTTCATGAGAACAATGGAGGAAGAACTCTGACAACTAGTAAAGTTATCTTAGCCCACTCTCCCCTCCTAAAAGTACATAAAAATTAAATTAACTAATTTTTAAAACTTACCATGAAGAAAAACGTTGAAATTATTATGAGGAAGAGAATAAGAAAAATACTGATCTTCCTATAGATAAGAAAAGCATACCAGAAAAACACATTTAGAGAACAGATAAATATCATAAACCAAATGTTTAAAAATGAGCTGAAAGAAATTAAGAGAATTATCATTATTAGAAAAAATCAGAAAGGAAATGATTGGAAAAAAATAACATTTCATAAGATACGATAAATAAATATAGAATTTTAACCTTTTAAAAAATTAGGTCAGAAATGAAAATTCAACTAGAAGGATGTGACATTATTCAAACACCATAGTTCAAAGAAAACTAGGAGCTCAAAAAGGAAGAAAAAATTTTATATGAAAAGGATCCAGAAAAGCTAATTCATATAGAAGATAAAGAAGATAGAACATAAATAAATAGGAGACCTCAAAGAAGAAAATCAAAGCAATGGATTAGAAAATACTTACTAAATACTGTAATTCAGAACCACTTGAAACTATGCATTGAAACTTGAAACTACAGAATAAAGAGGCATAACACATTCCTGAGAAAATGGATATGGAACAGCCAATATCAAGTTACATTCTCATAAAACTATAGGTCTTTAAAAGAAGCAAAATATTCTTTGCAAGGAAAAAGAGCAAGTAGCTTAAAAAAATAAGGACTATAAGATTTTTATCAGACTTTTGTAGAAAAGTCTGATAAAAATGCTTTTTGCTAGTAAGCAATGAAGTAGCATATTTAATACACTCAAATAAATAAATTGCAGATCTTAGGTTTTGCATGGCATATGCATAGATTTTACAGCAATACAACCTGACCATCCAGTGGAAAGGTTGTCCAGGCTTTTCTGCTCTTGCACTTCCTTGTTATATCCCTAGTATTTTATTCTCTCTTGGATCTGAGAGTCTTTGCTTCAGGTAAGTCCAGTCCTTTCACAGATTCTGGAAATGTGCACGAATCTCCATCTGAAATTGTGAGACTTTACAAGGTCTGCAGAGCAAAAGAAACCTTATCTTCACCCAAGACAAGATTGATAACCATGAACTCATAAATATGCAAGAACTCAGAGAATATCATCCCTGTGTACCTTTTTAAAAGACCTACTAGAAAATAAGCTTCTGACAACCAAACATACTATAAAGATATTGACATAAGGACTGCAGAAGTATTCTAGCCAATAAAAAAGAAGGGTGATAGACTGAGAATATCAGCGTTTTTCAATCCCTAATGAGTAAGTGGATCTAGGATATGGTGATCAGTGGATGATGATATCATGAAAGAGAACATTAGTGACTTCTCAAGAAAGTACTCGTCAAGGAAGTCCTCAACATCACCTGCTAAAAATGGCCAAACTTGAATCTGATCAAAATGTTAACACTAACTACCTGGTTGAAAAAAACATGAAGAACAGATGTTAACCACACTACATGAATATAGTCATCAAAATCAAGATAATGAAAAATATGCAAGAAATGAAAAAGAAATGGAAGGGGAGTTCATGGTGTAGAAAAAACTTAAGATATACATATCAAATGCTCATCACATGTGGGCATTATTTGGATTATATTTCAAACAATCTTCAAAAAAACCAATAATCAGGAAAATAAGAAAACTGTGTGTTTTATAATATTAAAAATTATTCTTATTTATAAGTATAGTAATAGTATTGAATTTAAGTTGTAAATTATTTTAATAAAATATTTATAGATGAAATAATATGATGATATTTGGGATTTGCTCCAAAATAATCTGGTGGCAGGAAGTAAAAATATAAATGAAAAATGCTTGGCAATGCATTGGTAATTACTTAATCTGGATGAAGAGTATAGTGCATTCAACACTAGTTTTTTCTCCTTTTGCACATGTTTGAAATTTTCAATAATAAGTTCTTTAAAAGACATAAGGAGGGTTTATGAGCACATACATTCTAGTACTGCAGACTTGATTCGTGTCCTGGGAGAAAACCATCTTCTGAACACCATTGAGCACATAGAGAAACTGACAAAAAAGTATGTGTGTAGATTTTCAAAGTAGCAAATCTCTTCTGCACCTGAGCTTCTAACACATCTCACCTCACTCTTCAAATTGCAATTCAACGGAATGCCTTTAATGAGTACTAAAATTGCAGTGAATTTTTCAAAGTGAACATTTAAGAATAAGAGAACTCTTAAACAGTTAACTTTGGGCCTTAATACAAGCCACTAGAGTCATTGTTTCTTGTGTGTGTTTGCGTAGAGTGGCTTGCAGAAAAGAAAAATAGCCCTGGTGTTTAAATGATAAATTGTCACTCATCTCTTTCTTATTCTCCATGTTTCCCTTCTAGATATTTCCACACAATATACCTAGGTATTCGAAGCCGACAGAGTGGGGAGAAGGACAGATGGAGATTTTATTGGAAAATGGTGTATGAGTATGCAGATGTGAGTATGCTGCATTTGCTCGCCACCTTTCTGGAAAGTGCCCCGCAGCTGGTCCTGCAGCTCTGCATTATCGTACAGACTCATAGCTTACAGGCCCTCCAAGGTAAGGGCTTGCAATTCGGTTTCTGAATTTGGGGAAAGACTGACTGGCTACTTTTGTCACAATCCAAGAAACTGTTCTAATACCTTTTGTTGACATAGGCCATGGTACTTCCTGTTGTATCTTGCCATTTAGCACTGAATTTGTAAATGATGCATATTTTCTTCCTCTCCATCACTTGTCAAGACTAATTTATACAAAGATTCTTTTTTTTTACCTCAAGTTGCCTCTGAGTAGAAAAAATAAATTTTATGATTTTATACTTGGTCAATATAACATTAGTCAACTGAGGCTTTCTGGCTTGTGTGCTAGAATAATATAAAGAAAATTGAAAAGGAGCCATAGTGCTTTCTCTCTAATTAATGTGCATATATTTATATATATATCATATTATATTATTTATGTAATAATATAATATGATATATACAAATATTAAGGTAATTTATAACATTTTATTTTGACTTTAAGAAACAGAGATATTAAAAGAAAATGGTAGAGGAATAGCTTAATATTTTTAAAAAAAGGTCACATGGAAAAAAACTCAATATTTAATAATATGTTATTGATAATACTACTAAGTTTTATAAAATGCATATTATTATAAGATTAATATTCTAATGTTTTGCTGTGTTGTTTAATTATCTCATCAGTAAGGCTATTTTATTTGTAACAGATTTGCTCTGATGTTTCCTTAGGGCCTGCTGCCCAAATCTTTTCTAGAAACAAGAGACAAGTGGGTAGATAGATGAATAAATGGTAGGTAGATGATGGATAGATAACCATTTTCTAAAGGAAGAGTTTCCAGGTAATTTGACAATCCTGTAACTAAATAGATACTATTAAACAATTAACGTATTCTAACATGCTCGTTTTGCTTCAATCTCAGCAGAGCTTTGCTGTGACCTTAGCTATGCACATACATGTTGCTGTCATGTTCTGGGCCATGCTCTACCTTGAGACTTGATCTGGTTGGTCTGGGGAATCTCTACAATGTCCTTATAAACTTTTATAACAAGGAGCACATTAGCTTAGGCTGAATGTTTTAACTGGGGGGTGGGGTGCAGGAGGCATATTATAGGAAAAGAAAGATAGAGGGTGTCCTGGTAGCCAGTGACCCATTTATGTATGAATTCCTGGCTCAAGCCTGGCTCCTTGTTAAAGTAGCTTTGATCTAAGATGTTTGAGAAAAGGGTCAAAGAGATATATAGGACTCTCAAATGTTAGAAAGCAAAATGGAAGAAAGAGAAAGTGGAATGTTTGAACAGAAACAGAAGAGAAAAGCGGGGAGCGAGCAAGGGTTATGAAGTAGCTGTGGGTGACTATGTTCAGCAGTGAAAGCTGCACAGGGAGGCTCTGGCTTTGGTTATATCATTTCTTGCTATGAGAGCTTGTGCAAGACAATCTCTCTAGGGCCCAGTTTCCCAAAGGTAAAGGTCACAAACTAAATGCCCAGTAAACTCACAGAGACAGGTGTATGCGTTAGGAAATGATCTGTAAATAAGCACACAATTTGAAAGGCAACATCAAACAAAATCTCTGTCAAAGTGTCCAGTATTTCTCTCCAGAACCATGTGGCCACTCCTTAGTATAGTTACACAATGAGAACCCTCAGGAAAAAGGAAGTTCAAGTCCAAAGGTGGAGGGTTGCAAACCACCTTCCTATGGCCAAAATTACTGATTGTCTCTACTAGTTTTCTAAATGAATTAGAACATTATACAGAATTTTTATCCTAAAGATGACAGAGATAGACGAGGAAAAGTGAGACAGGATCTAAGAAAATCAGGTTACCTTTTCAGTTTGAGAATTTTATTTAAAGATTTATAGAAAAAAAATAAAAATGGGTAATCATTAGTTTTTATCAGATTATTCACCCAACATGGGAATCAAAATCTGTGCATCAGAGTTGCAGCTCTTTCCTGACACTAGTTATCCCCAACGTACGTTCAAAGCTCACATTTGCATCAGCTTTGCTCTGGACTTTGGGAGCCACACCTCACCCTTAGTTTTGCTTTTTAATTGATTTTTAGAGAGAAAGGAAGGGAGGGAGAGAAACATCAATGTGAGAGAGAAACATCAATCAGTTGCCTCCCATGGGAGCCCCAAATGGGGATTAAACCCGTAACCTTCTGGTGCACAGGATGACTCTCTAACCAAATGAGCCACCAGCCAGGGCAACACATGGGGTTTTTGGAATATGAAGAAATCAGAATAGAAGTAGGTGTTTCTTCCTGCCCAACAATGCCTTCTTGTGGGAAAGCATTTGTTCGTAAATCACTCTGCACATGACAGCTAAATACTCTTAGAGTGTAGAATGAGATTTTCCAATAATGATAAGTAAAGGTGGAGATTGGCAATGAACTAAAGCCATAAAAAAAAAAAAGGTGGAAACATTTGGGTTGGTAGGTTGGCAACTACTTGCATCTAGTAAAGGTCTGATTTTTTTTTCTAGGTAGCTCCTTTACAAGGAAGGTTTGTTTCTGCATGATGGCTCCACTGCATGGGTATGCACACCTGGCTGTCAGGGCCAGGTGACTGTTAAATGCACCCTGAGCTGTGGTTTACACACACTTTTTGTGAAGGTTCCGTGGTATGCCATGGTCCTGCAGAGCATTTCCTGGCTGTTCCTTGGAGAACGCTCTTGGACCACATGGAGCACAGCACTGAGCAATGCTATGTTGCTGGGGAAAGCCTGTGGATCATTTATAAATGAGTCAGCATCTTCTCTGCCAGCTATGGAAGGCTGGGTCTACGAAACCAAAAGTGAATGTTCAGAGAACATACTCACAAAACTAAAAATGACTTCAGAAACCCTTTTAGTCCAGCTTGCTCATTTTACAGATTCTCAGGGTCATGCAAAAGGCCAGGTCGGGTACCTTCTGTCTATAGAGGGTGGACTTTTATCTTTCTATCTTTGCTTTCACAATTTGGATAGAATTAAAGGTTTTAGATGGATCTGAAATGTTTGAAAAATAAGACTGACAGGGCTTGGACCACATCTTCCTGTATATGTATCCTCTGCACGGAGACTCACAGGAGTGCTGTCTCATAGCTCTGCTTACCAGGCACAGTCTTTCTTCCTCCTTTACTCTTCCCTCCATCTCTCTTTCCTTCCTACACCCCCTCCCCCACCTACGGTGGGGATGTGAAATTGGATTGGGAAACCATAACAAGGTGCAAACTCGAAACTCCGTGACTACGGAGTGCTATACTAGGTGCTGTTTTATCTCCTGTGCCATCTTAGCTATGCATGTTCAGTTGGACCTCCTTGAGTGTTTCTCATATGCCAGAGTTGGATGTTCCTAGGGAAACTGCAGATGCAAAGAGCAGCAGTATGTCCAAGGTGACAGGGGCATGAAAAGAACTGGATGTTCATGTTCAAGGTTCCACTTTCCCTGATTGCTTGTCTCAGAATGGGAACCAAATTGTCCTTCCTGGAACAGTACAAACTGAGAAACAATTATACTTAAACAGTTCTCCACTGAACCTGTCAGCCTCCAGCACTAGGAGTGTCTCTGATTTAATTATTCAATAAGTAAGGAGAGCTGAGAAAAGATTTTCACAGCTAACAATATTTTAGGAGTACATCAAGTTCCATAAGAAGAATACAATTTTTAAGTATACATTTTTAAATGTAATATTTCTTGTTTGATTTTCTTACTGGTTTTCAAAGAGTGTCCTTCAGAGAGAAGTAGATGGATAAAGCTGGGTTAAAGAAATAAAGCAATTTTCTTTCTATCTTAAAAAATAATTTTGGACATAGTCATATATGAAAATGACTCACAGACTTAGGACCACTCTATATCTGCTGAATAAGAATATTTTAGATATTTTAATTCAGAGCTATTTGAAAATTATGTACAGGTTGAACACCACTGATTATTGGTATTCATTGCACAATTTGAGTTTTTACTGTAAACCCCAAGAATCTTTTACCATAAAGATGTATGAAAATATGTATATCAGACCAGGTTTTTTTACATTTATTTTTCTTTTCCTAGAGGGGGGAAAGCTCTGTTCTTGTAAGTCATACCAATTTAATCTATAAGCTGGTTCCTTTGTCAGTGGGATCATCTATCAGAGGAGGGTTGAATTTAGAAACTCTGAAGATAAGTTTCTTTTCAACACAAAAAAGCATAAAAGCATTGCCTGAGCTTGTTTTCATGTGCTGGAGGTTGTGTCATTGTTGTTTGCTGTCAGGTTGCTCCATACTTTGGTCTTCTAATACAACACTGCTTTCTGCCCTCCTTCCTTATTAAAAAATGTCAGCAATAAGGTCATCCTAGAAACTTACTCCTTATCTTGTGCTTCATAATTTGCATTCATCCTAGTGATCTCTGTAACCACCTGTCTGACCACATTGGGAATCATATAGAACATATTTTCCTGATGGTTTCTGGTTTTGACATCAAAAACCAAGGGTAAGGATAAAAACATAATATAAACCCCATGTGCTGCCCCTTTTGACAACACTTTATTGTGAATAATTTGTAAGAGAAAGGAAAGAGGGCTAAAAAAAGTTCCTAATTATTCTTTTGCTATCTTGCATCCTATGAGGCTGATGGGGAAAGTCAGAAATTAAGGGGGCTGTCCTCATATATCTAGTGAACACTGTCTCCAGCCAACCAGGGTCACTAAGACATCCTTCAAGTGTGAAAACCACCTCATTTGTCGTATCCTGATGAGGACTTTCAATATCTAAGTCATTGGATTTAGAGTTGCTCAACTTCGTGGTAAAGCAGGTAGATCACACCCTCTGCTTTTTACCTGGCTTAGGTTAGAGAAGAAACCCAGTTACCATCAGGCCCAAGTCCTTCCACCTCTGACAAATGCCTCCTCTCCGCATGTGCCTGGCTCTGTCTCTGGGTTTCTGCTGGGGAGGAAAAGCACAGGCCAGAGTGCCATTCTGTGAGTGGGATGGTGTCCCACGTCCCTTTAGATCTGTCTACTCTGCGGTTACTATTTTCATTAGTCAATTAACACTTTTATTGTCTATTGTGTTCAT